ATCCCATATTGGTTTTTCTCATTATTTTAGTTATAATTTTTTTTTTAAATCAATTAAGATAATTTTTCGTATAAAACCAAGATAACTATCTTTTAATCACGAAAAAAAATTTTCCATTTTATGTCATTATTTTTCAATTTAATGACTGCACAATTTTTTAAATAATTTTTTTCAATTCGAAATTTATTCCATCTATTCGAAGATGAAATTTTCAACTGATATATCATAGAATACTTATATTTCGATCGAAATCCTAAGAAGTAGACAAATTCCTTCACTCGTCTATGCGAGCAAACAGCTGAAAACAACTCACGTGGTGCGCAGTAGGTTCGATGATCCTTACTTCGGCGTGACCTTCGTTGGCTATCCCACAGGTTCAATGCACGCTTGTTGTACGTATAATCTCGTAACCAGTTACGTCTTACTCGAGCTCGGAAAATGCCTCCTTCCTTTTATGCTACTCGTGAAACTCGACCTTTTACAACTTTGCCCTGGATAGATATTCTTTGTGATTATTCGAGTTTCTTTTACGATGAAAATTCTAAAATTATTAGATTTGTTCAAAAAATTTATAATATCTATATTCAACTGTTTACAACATAAACTTTTTTCTTTAAATTTACTCTTCTTTTAGACAATGAATTCCTCTAATTTTTTTTGCATATTTCTAAAGAATTTCTAATTTGTAAATGATAATGAACTATATCTAATGAAATTGTAATAGTTTCCATACTATAATTAGAATATTTTGTAAAACAATAGAAAGATATCTTTATCAATTTTTTCAATTAGAAAAAAATATTATTAAATTCCTGTTATAACAGAATGAAATTTGTTGATAATTATAAGCTTTAATATTCTAGTTTAAAAAAAAAATTATTTTTTTTTTTTTTACAACAAAATAATATAAAACATTTTTATGCATTTATTATATATATAATATAGTGGATAATATATATAGTAATTTTTCAATTAAAAAAATCAATTTTTATATAAAGATATTAATTTTCATGTTTCTAGAGTTAAAAGAAATCGCACATTGTTTCCAGTGAAAAAAAAAGTAATCGAAGAGAAAGACGAAGAAGAGAGAAGAGACTTTCACTTCGCCCAGGGTCGTTGCGCTGACGTTTCTCACGCTTCCCTTTGTGCATTGATTCCTCAAGTCTTCGAACGATAGTTTTCTCTTTCACGAATCCATCGTTCTGTGTTTTCCTCACGAAAACCGAGATGTTTAACGAAACGAACGTTAAGTTCCGAAACGAATTGATGTTTCATGCCGCATTATCCTGCAATGGAGATTGACATAATCGGCCTATTCAAATCGATTATATATCCCTTAAAGAGCTCGCTTCTTCGTTTCCTTCGTTTCTGTCTAAATGGTAACCAATAGCTATTATTATTGCGATACTTGAAAGAAAAATCGAATGATGATCCTGTATCATATTACAATAATTTTAATTAAATTGCAAGTCAAGATAATATTATTGTTATATCTATTTAAGAAAAAAATCTTAAGTTGATACTATATAAATTAAATTTTTACTTTTTCGAATCAATCTTTGAATAATTTTTCGAGAATTTTGTTTTAAAACATAGAAGAAACATTCTAATAAAAAAATACTATAGTATAAAAAAAAGCAGTTTTTTTTTATATTTTTCTAACTTTTATTACATATTACGTTCTATATTATTACATTCTATATTATATGGATATTTTTCAACTATTTATCTTTTGAAGATATCATTAAAAAAATTATTTAATCTCCGAAAAAAATGTCCTAATAGATAACAATTATTCTATCTCTATCTAAATTTTTTCTTATTTTCTATATATATACACACAAAGAAAAAAATAACAAAAAATCATTTAAATTTAATCTTTCGATTAGATATATGAAATAACAATTACATATTTTATCTTAGAAAACTTCTTATATTGTTAGAGATTTCGAATTGCATATACCAACTCGTCAATGACCTATGACGTGGATCTCTTTGCGTAATATCGTTTTCGTAATAAAACTCTCATAAAACTCCGAGTCTAACCACGTTTCAAGGGCCTATAACGGCAAAAGGCCGTGCCTCGGCGGCCATAACATATATACTATCATGATAAGGGCTGCATCGAGACGGACTAGAGAAATAGATTTGGCTCCGGGCTCGGTTTCGTTCGCCAAGGTCGTGCACACGCGTGACGTCAGGGATCGTTGACTCATGGGGGCTCGACCTCGGTGTCTTCTTCTTCCTCTTCCTCTTGCCTTCTTCGCTTTATCTCTGTCTCGTCCACGCCTTTAATCGTGCTTTTCAACTAATTTCGAGGCCGATTATAATGTAAGATATAAATTTTGAAATTTTTTATCTTTTCTTTTGAAACAATTGTAAACGCAATCCTTGGATGTAATGAATTCTTTGTGAAGCTTTTCTTTGTGAATTATTAATAGATTTAAACTTTTTTGAAGGAATAATCGAATTTTTGTTTCAATTGAATCTATTACATATAATTTGATACGATAATTGTTTTATTTAAGGAAATTAATTATTAAATTTTGAATCACTTCATTGACATATTATATATTTTATGCATATTACATTTGAACTTTGATCCGTTTCTTGATTTCATTTGTCATGTATTAATAAATCATTTGATTAATTATTCACGGTTTAAATAATAATAAAATTTAATTCCGTATTCTGTGTAATTTCAACAAATTTATATAATTCAAATACTTCGTAAATAAAAACTTGTTTGCAAATCGTTACTGACTCGAACAAGGATCGATATTGAGCGGAAGTAGATGCACACCTCGTCACGTTTCAGAACGGAAAAGAGATATCCGATCGATGATCGTATATACCGCTTGACACCTTTTTTCCGTTGTATAGGGGATTGATACACGTCTGCATTATTTATTATTATTATTTGAATCTTTATTTTCATTAAAAGTCATTATTCCGTAATCTATAAAAAATTAAATTTTTTATTTTTTATTTTTATTATATATTTATTATTTAAAAAATTTTTTTTTATATAATTTTTTTTTGCTATGTGAAAATTTTTTTTATTACCAATTAATCTTTAATTGATTTATATATAATATATAAGTGAAGTTAAAAAGATTCGACTTTGTTATAATTAGAGTATGCGATTCTTATACTTTGAGCTTTTCAGCAAGAAATTTCATAGAAATAGCTTCCTATTATACTACATCATGTTCATCATAATAACGCCTACTTGAATTCCTAAAGATGAATCGAAACATCTGACCCTTCTGGAATGCAATCTTTCATAAAATAAAATAACAAATTGAACAATGTATTAAACTCTCACAATTCTTATTCTAACTCTTTTTCGACGTTTATCTTTTATAATTATCAAGAAAAATATGTTTCAGATAATAAGAAGTTCGTTTTACAAAAACGTGAACATTTTCCGATACATCGATTTTTTTTCTCAAACTTTATCTCTTTCTTTATATATATTATACGTATTCTCTACGTATATTTTCACTTTTATCCATAAATCAGCATATATAATTTGACAAGTTGCATCAGACTAATGTGCATCAAAGCGAACGCGACAAAGATTAAATTTTTTTGCGTATTTTTTTTCAAGGTAATTACGTAAGAGATATAAGTTCAATTCGACCCTGGCTCCCTCTCTTTCTCTTTCCAACACGTGCTTCCGTACTTGTAGTACTTCTCGCGACTCGTCTGCTTACTACTTCAAGGCCACGATCAATTTAGTCGTAGGAACCTTCGACATTCCTCTCAAAAAGAATCTCTGTTAGCTTTTTTCCTCTTCTTTTCTCTTTTTTCTTTTTTTTCTTTTTTTCTTTTTTTTTTATTTGGGGCTACACGACAAAACTAGCGAATATATCCGAGGACGAGGAAACCATTCGACACACACGCGCACAAAGAGGATATATATAAAGAAGCATACATTGTGTACAATCGGTGTTTTCACGAGTTTTGTCATAACCTGAAAGCCAGACAACGTAACGGAAGGTCTTCTCTAATTGCGAGCGATAAGAGGACTCACCATGCAACTCGAAATACAGTAATCATATTTTCGTTTCTTGTCTCATATTTTTTTTTTCTTTTTTTTTCTTGCATATTGCAATATAGTTATGATCAACTTTTAATTATACTATATGAAATAGTTATGTTATATTTTTCAACTTAATTTGTTTTACATATTTGATGATTATTTTACGAAAAATATTGTATTTCATTTTACGAAAAATACATCGTTTTTATTAGACGAATTGAATGTAGAAGATTATCTGAGAACTGGAAAAAAAGATTTGAATATATTCATTAAGTTTTATATTGTTTGATAAATAGAAATAATATTAAAAATGTTCTTATTCGTTATGTAGGATTTTCTATATTTTATCAATTATTGGGCATTATGGAAGCATTATATTCCATAATTACGAAAATCCATATTTACAGCTTATGGTTATTCTAAGATCTATATAAATTTAAAGTTTATATTATTCTAAAGATAGAGAAATCTTTTGTTATGAGAGTAGAAAAAAAAAGAACGTGGTTTAAAAAATCTATATCACAAAGAAACTAAAACTCTGCTTTGTTATCTCCGATGGACGAAGTTATCTAAAAGTTGAATGCGTAATTTCCTACGAATATAAAATTATCTTGCTCTCTCTAATAAACACAGATAACATACAATTATCAATATCCTTGTATTAATTTATTCTAATTGAATATTTGATCAATAAATTTCTTTTGTTCTATATTTATAAGTTCTTAAACCATATTTATTTTTTATTAAAGAATAAAAATTATTACTTTATTATTAAAAAGAATTTCTTCTATTAAAAGACAATTAATTTCCTTATATCAAGATATTAAATCTTATTCCTTCAACAAAAAAAGAAGGAAAAAAAATTACTTGACGCATATTTGCGTAGTCCTTAGCGTAGATAAATTAAGGTAGTTTCCACGGGATACATTCTGACGTGGTGTCGCATTTGAAGGTCTTATGTGCACAGGTGAAGGTGGTTAAGTTCAGCTACATGTGGACGATAAATAACTTCAGCTTTTGCCGGGAGGAAATGGGAGAAGTACTAAAGTCGTCCACCTTCTCAGCAGGGGCCAACGATAAATTAAAATGGTAAGATCCGGAAGTATAAGCTCGTTTGTCAAGCGTAGAACACGAGTCTGAAAATTTCACTTCTGAATTTCACAGTAGAAAATTACTTGGCAAAATTATTTAAGATTCTTTGCATTGCATACCAAATTGTTTTCTTGATCTCATAAATTCACTTTTTTTTAATGATTTTTTTATTATATAGGTAATCTTTCAATATAAAATATATTATATCTAAAATGTTGGTTACCTTATTACTGATCTCATTTTTTTTCAATAATCAAATAAAAATTGATTTATTTATAATTTTTTATTTTATATTTAATTACTTAATTTTTTTATTTCAATTTTATTTTAAGTTTTTTATATATCTATACTTTTTAAAATTTTGGTACGAATTTTTCATCTTTTTTTTTATTGAAATATCAAAATATCATTCATAATATAAATATATAATTGTTGATATTTCTTATAAAAAATTATTAATAATAAATTAAATAAATAGCAACATCAAGTTTCTTGAAAAATTTGAAATCATATCAGATAAGTTTATATTGATGATAATTGATTTTAGGTGCCTAAGAGTGAATCCTAAGGGTCTGGATGAGGAGAGCAAAGACTATCTGTCGCTATATCTCCTTCTCGTTTCGTGCAACAAATCCGAAGTCAGAGCAAAGTTCAAATTTTCTATTCTTAATGCCAAAAGAGAAGAAACCAAAGCAATGGGTAAGTGCTAAACGGATGCAATGCAGGGTATTTTAAAAATTACAATTAATATCATAATTATATATATTATAATATCATAATTATATTATACAATAAACATATTGAAAAATAATTTTTTAATTATCATGTATCTTATATGTATCTGCATCTATATTTTTCGCTAATCATGCAAAAATATATGTATGCATTCGTGTAGCAAAGAAATGCTCGTTAAATATTTTAAAATAACAATTAAATCATAATTTTATAATGGAATTTTATAACAAGTTCAAAGATCTTGAGAACAAAATTTAAAATTCATAATAAAAATCTTAATTTATTTTAAAAAAAGATATTTCGTTCAAAAATGGTAAACAATGGTAATTTTATACTTTCAGAGAGCCAACGTGCTTATAGGTTCGTCCAAGGTAAAGATTGGGGTTTTAAGAAGTTCATTAGGAGAGATTTCTTGTTGGATGAAGCCAATGGACTCTTGCCCGACGATAAACTCACGATATTCTGTGAGGTATATACCTTTGTATGTTACATACTCAATATTTGTATGATTTTCTAACGTTTATTGCGAATGAAAATCTGTAATTCTATAAAATATTACAGGTCAGCGTAGTGGCAGATAGCGTGAATATTTCCGGACAAAGTAATACTATACAATTCAAAGTTCCAGAATGTCGATTACCGGATGATTTAGGACTTTTATTTGAAAACCAAAAATTCAGCGATGTCACGTTGACAGTATGTGGGAGAGAATTTCAAGCGCACAAAGCTATTCTCGCAGGTATAATAAATTATTTTTTAAAATTAATACTTTTTATATTTTTATATTTTATATTATAATCAATATCTTCGATATCTTGTTCAAAAAAATGGATGATTTTAATTTATAATTTTATTCTTCAGCACGAAGTCCTGTTTTTTCGGCGATGTTCGAGCACGAGATGGAGGAAAGGAAACAAAATCGCGTGGATATCACCGACGTAGACCACGAAGTGTTACGAGAGATGTTACGATTTATATATACGGGAAAGGCAGCAAATTTGGAAAAGATGGCGGACGATTTACTAGCTGCAGCGGACAAATACGCATTAGAAAGGTTGAAAGTTATGTGCGAGGAAGCGTTATGCACAAGTTTAGCAATCGAGAACGCAGCTGACATTCTAATTCTTGCTGATCTTCATAGTGCTGATCAACTTAAGGCACAAGCCATAGATTTTATTAACACGTAAATATTCATAAATGTTTAAAATGAAATTCAGAACGAAAAAATCTATCTAGTAAAACAAAAAAGATTTATCATAAGATATTCTATTATATAATCTCAATTGATAAAAGAGAATAAATTTTTCTATCATTTTATTCATGATATTTGTTTCAGACATGCGACAGACGTAATGGACACAGCAGGTTTTAAATCAATGGTGAACTCTCATCCGCACCTCATAGCGGAAGCGTTTCGGGCATTAGCCACTCAACAAATTCCACCGATCGGACCGCCCAGGAAGCGGGTGAAACAAAGCTGAAAACAATCACCGCTGACTCCGGGCACAACCTCCACATCGCCCCCGCCTATTTTGCATCCCTCATGACTTTTTTGTGTACAGTGATACAAGTAGTGCTAAATAAATGTTTCCTAGTGCGCCATTCTCTGGTCCACTTAAAAAGGAACTGCGACGAGAACTGTTCTTCATGGTTTTCGACCTAAATTTGTATCGTTCAAACAAGATACATTGTGCAGCCGATTCAAACGGCAAGGCGGGAAACGCAGTTAACTTATGGCTATAGACTTTATTGTAATTTGGTGAAATCGTCGATATTAGAAAAAGCCTATCACAGAAAAGGAACCGAGAAAAGGGTATGATGAAAGATAATCTTTTTCTGAAAAAGAGTAAATTATTAAACGCGTTGGTTTCAATCAGATTGAACGAAATTATTGGTAGTTTGCATTGTACGTTACATTCTCCTGTGTGAGAGGGACATGTGTTTATCCATCGATATGCAAATATCATGTCAGCGATTTGTCAATGCGCATAATTAGGGTCTTGTAATGGATTTGTTTTCGTTTATAATGAGAATAAGTGATGAAAACGCGCAAACCATCTATGCATTATGAAAAAGACATCAGAAACAGCCAGAGGACCAAGGCGAGATTGAAACTCGCTGATACATTGCTACACACATAACAAACTCACACGCGAAGAAAGAGAGATATACATGTGATGTACGAAGAAAGTTGTGATAGACGTCAACCAGACAATTAAAAGAAAAAGATTTTGTTCCTTTGTCGAAAATAACGAATCAAATAAGAAGTGTCCCACGCTTGTTCATCGTGTACACGAGCGACAAGAATAAAATTAGATATGTTTATTACTGATAGTGATTTTTAGTTTTAAATGAAAAAAAAAAAAAGAAAGAAAAATGAAATCGTCGAATTCTTCCAAGAACGGAGAAAAAATGATTCTAGTTAGTGTTTTTTATGATCTCTTTCTCTCAACATGTACGACTACTACGATTACTATTAATGCTACGCAATCTGTGCCCCGTATTTTTGTATATTTTTTGTCTGCAAATACCTACATCCTATCCTCCATGCGGCCTTTTTCTCTATTTCCCCTTAATCCCTATTCCCCATTCCCATTCCCTTGTCGCTAGGCACAGTTTGTTTTGTTTTCTCGAGTATTGCATAGTAGACGAAGTGATAGATTCGAATTATTATTATTATTGTTATTATTATTTTTATTATTATTACTATTATTATTACTATTATTATTATTATTACTATTATTATTACTATTACTATTATTATTATTACTATATTATTATTATTATTATTATTATATTATATTGTATTAAATTTAGGGTTGTCCATAATTTATCAGATTTTATGTTAATTATTATTGAAATGTCTATCATATTCGCAGGATACATGTATTAATTAAAAATATTGCAAGAGTTTCATTAAATGAAAAGAATGAAATCAAACAGATATTGTTAGAAAAAGAAGAAATGAACATCAAATATAAAAAGGAAATTAAAAACACTGTATAATATAAAAGGTTAGTCAATTATAATATGAGAATATTAATCGTTTTTGTGTAATTAATTATCAAAATCGCGAAATTGTGTGGTCAATGATCTGAATTATGGGCAACCGACAGAATACACAAAACAATAATCATCATTTAGTACCGTACTGGCTTCCTGATCCTCCGACCTAGCTTTACCGAATGTTTTAAATACAAGATATAAATACTTACCATTACAAAGGAGTAATGATCGAAGATTTAATGCCATACATGTTCTGTGATAAGACCACTGTAATTAACCGCAATTGTATCACAACCTTTCTAGAACTTTCTGACGATCCTGGCAGCCAGTGAATTTATCTTTTAAGGAAACGGTCGCTATATCCGGACAGTCCCAAATCTAGCGTCCCTTTCGATTTTAAGGTTTTTACTGTACATATCTACTGTATTTTATAAGAACTGAACCGAAACGGAACTATACTTTTAATGAAGGGTACAATAATCAACTATAATTTATTCTATTTTACAGACTGTGCTAAACTCATGTTCCTTGAAACACACTAGCAATGCTTTAAGTAAATGTAATGTAATTATGACAAATTAATACGATTAGATTATATATATGTGTATCTCGTTTTTGATCTCGATATGTACATGCATTTACACGTATCGTCTATCATGACGTTGTAATGTATTTCTGTCGAGATTAAAAGTAAAAAAAAAAAAAACTCCTATGGAAACATAGTTAGGGAAGATTTTCCACCGTTTTTTACACGATGTTTATTTCAGTCGTAGTAGGTTATTAAGGCTTACAAAATAAAATGACAACAAAATAGAGAAATGAAAAAAGAGGAAAAAATATAAAGAAAATATAAAATATGTTGTAAGCAGTTTAAGGAACAGATTTTGGCCATGTGTGCTCGCTCAGATTTTAAAAATGTCAAAAAAAGAAAAGAAAGAAAAAATTGTCTACGTCCATTCTATTATCCATGTTCTATCTTTGGGACTGTGCGGCGAAAAAAGTATCTCATGAAACTCGTAATATTGAATGTCTTTTTCCTAAAAACGAAAAACTAAATATTTACCGTACAACAGTTCGAGAAATATTAGATGCAATTCTTTTTGAACCAATCTGCATGAGCGTATGACTGGATAATTTGATAAACTAAGTACAAGTAAGACAAATGTTACCTCATCATGAAAATCAGCATGGTCGTGTCGCACTAGCTACTACTGCGCTGCTGTCTGATACACTTCCATTGTATATTATTGCATTTAAACTCGAAAAAAAAGAAGCTTTTTGTAACGAATAGTTCAGCAGTGGTAGCTTTTTGAAGTACATGACTGCTGTTCATTGAACCCAGCTCATATAAACGTTCATTTTTCCATTTACTTTAAGTCATTGCACCACATCAAATAAATGACATTTTCATTATATAATCATGAGAATTTTACGTGATTTTCATTATCCCCAACACATTTCATTAATTTTATAATATATTTCAATGTTTATTTTCAGCAAATTTTAGCAAATCAAAAATATCAAAAGATAATATTGTTAAAAACAATAATATAGATGAAAATAATTCAATATTATTTACATTAGATAAGAAGCTTATTTAGTTATTTATTTCATTTTTTTTATCAAATTTTTAATTATCAAGTTTATTTTTTTCATTAATTTAAATCAAAATAGATATGAGAAACAATACATTTATAAATATTAAATATGAATCGTAATCGGATTTGTTTGATCGTTCGTAATATTTGATATTTGTTGAGATACTTTCGAAGTTTCTGGATAAACTGGTGGTGCTTCAAGCATAGAAATCTGGAGAACATAAATAAAATGATATTACATAATAAAATTAAGATTTTTATCTCCTATTTGATAATAAAAAATATTAGAAAAGATTATAATAATATTTAACATAGATTGGAATATATGAAAATTTTTTCTATTTCTTCATTTGTTTTATTTCTGTTCCTATATTCTTTCAATTATCAAATTGAAAATAGACATACTTTATTGAAAGGAGTTTCATAAAGAGGAGGTGCACTACAAGCTTCGTTATAAGATGGTGGTCTATCCATTGATGGTCTAACCATTGAACAATGCAGTGGCCTGGAATCTGTATTGCAATCTGAATATCTCATGTTATATATTCTGTAAATTTTTAATATTCTGTAAATATATAAAACCAATATTAATAATATCTAATTTTGTTAATTTTAAAGCTATAGTATATAATTTTAAAATATATCTCTAAAATTATATTTTAATTTTAAATTTCAAAATAAAATTGGATTACATTAAGTTATTAAAAATTCGTACCTGTTATAATATAATAAAATTACGAAAAAACATAAAAATACTAATAATAAAAAAATGATTACAATTATTTGTGATGATTATAAATATACTATAAATATATAATTTTTATTTCTGTAAAAAAAAATTAATTAATATTTAAAAAAATTCCATGGTTCCATAAGATATATAAATGAAAGAAATTGTAATTACTTACAATAAAAATTTATAATCAAACATATATATTAGCATGGAACATTGAAATGTCCCAAAAACAATTTAAAAATATAATAAATTTACTGTTATTTTGATAATACTTATGTATATTTTTGTTTCAATTATTTAGATAGCTTTCATTTTTACATTGCAAACTGTCATCAAAAAATAGTAGTGTTTAATTCTATATAAAAATACTTTTTTACTATAGATATAAGAAAAGATGAAAAAGAAAAAAATCTTTAATAAAATAGAATCCAATATATTACATACCTGAATACTTAAATTCATTATGAACATTAATTATAAAAAAAAATATGTATAATTGAAAATTTATAGCTAAGATATTATACCAATATTATATTACTTAAATATTAATAAATTAACAAATAAAGGATGAATCTATAATTTATTTCACATTTTTTATTTTACTGATTTTCAATTAAAAAATTTTATTGCATAATGATTTTTTTAACTTTTAAATCTTAATATTTATAAAAAACAAATATTGTAAATTTTTAACTTTTCACAAATAAGTAAACATATTGTTTTAAGCTTAAACATTAAATATATCTTGCACATATAAAAGCTATAATCTTATCAAATGATATCACTTTGATAACATTACATATAATTGATATTTTAGTAATTTTCCTGAGAATTGATATACTCCTTAATATATATCTTTCTATTTTCATATATCTTTAAGAAATGATATAAATAGGTAAATGAATAGAAAAAGTGAATATATATATATGTATATATATATACAAAATGGCATAGAGTATATTTTGTAATATACATGAATAAATTATTAATAATCCAACGTTATAACAATTCCTAAGATCATATAATTTACAATAAAATGAAGACTTATGTAAATATTTGTTTGAAGTTAATGCTGTACAATCAATTTGTTAAAGTAATTAATGCTTCTACAACATTTCCCCTATGTTCTCTGAGTGTTTGTTCTGCTACATTTCGATTTATTTCCATTTCTCTCATCTAAAATAATATGAGTATTTTAGTAATTGAACAAAATTTTTAACATATAAATGAGCTAATTAAAAAATAATAATAATAATTATAATGAATCTTACAATAAGATCAACATCTTCTTTTTTAATAGGAACTTTTAACAATTCCTTTTCTCTTGCCTTTTTCTCTGCAGCTTCTTTATTGCGTCGATCTCCGATTATACTTAATGCCTTTAATAAAAATGATTATGATTAATAATTTTATATATATAATTGTGTACATAATTTTTTGTAGGTTAGGTTTCAAGATTACATATTCTTAAGTGAAAAATTTAAAAATATAAATTATAAATATTAAGAAAAGTAACAGAAAAATTAATTTTGAATTTGAAGAGTAAGAGTTTTCATCATTGTCAAAAAAATTTAGTAAATTATTATTGACAATCATAAACACACGTGGAATAGATAGAAGATAATATGAATACTTACGCAAGAAAATCCATCAGATGAGGATATTTCTTTTTCTTCTGCATAATCTGTAACTTTTTCTAAATCTGCCGCACCACTATCATATTTTGCTGTTTTTTTCTGTGATTTTTCTTGTTGTACTTCATCAGAATCACCATTTACATCGTTATCCGCCATTTTTCCTTTTTTTAAAATATACTTCACATTGTGTGATAATTATGAACTATATATGATAACTTCACGTTGAACTCTAATAATGTCTATTTTCAGTAATTTAGTTTCATTAATTGTTATAAATTATAAGAAGTTGATTAAGAAATATTATTTTTTATAAATCTTAACTGCTTTTAATTTTGTACAACATAAATTATAATTTAAATCATTGTAATATCATTATGAAAAAAAATATTTTTTTAAATAAATAATAAAAATTATTAAAATATATTTATTAAATATAAAATCTTAAATATAAAAAGTATCGTAAATTATTCATCTACAATAAAATTTTAATTTTATAAAAAAAAAATAATTATTTAAAAAATCTAATATACTTAATCCAAATATCTTAAATAAACAGAAAAAGTTAAAAAAAAATTAAAAATAAAAGAGATAATAAAGAAAAAATGAAAATAAAATTTAAAACA